CAAAAAGTTAACAGCCCATGAACTTCCAGTTTCTGTGAGATACATGTATTAATAAAGGTGCTTCCAAATGCTCAGGCAGGAGTTTTATCTTCTCCTTTCTTTTTCCTCTTGTGTATCTTATATGCCATATTCAACCCACAGAAGTTTGGAAGAACCGATTGCTAACTTATGCTACATTCGTGTCAGAAGAGGTGGGAAAATTCTTAGAACAGGAGCCATACTACTAGAAAATCAAATTGCTATAAATAAAACTAACTGGCAATAGATGGATAATGATTTATTGTGGGGACACTGATTAAATAATTTGGTTTGGAACCTTAATTTGCAACATTGCTCAGTAAACTCCTGTGAATGCTGTAAATGAAACACATCCAGGGGTAGGGACTGAAGGACCAGAGATGTTCCATGAGCCATCCCATTTCTTCACAGTGTCTCAGAGATCTGAACTTTTTTCAACCCCTAAAGTTAGGTCACGGCACTGGATCTAACTGACAGTCGTGGTCCTCTATCTGATGTGAGACACCCCTTTCACTATTAGTGCTGCTTTTCTTTTGGTTACTCATGTGGTAGGTAGAAATGAAGTTCGTGATGTGCAAGAGTTGTACACATCTCTAGCCACTAGTCATCAAGTGTTTTAAAAAGAATTAACTAGTGAAAAAAATAAAAAAAAGGAAAGCTCAAATTAACGAAATCAAAATGTTTTAAAAATAAATCCATATAATGAGAGGTGACCAGCAAGCCTGTATCTATGCCAGAGTGTGGTGGAAGAGAAGGCACTCTCACTGAATTTTCTAAGTGTACTGAAGTCACCTAACCTCTTAGTAGACATGGCTCTTGCCAAAGAGTACCATGGAAAGAGCTTCTCTCTCCCGTGATATCCTCACTATATCCTGTTCTTAGGTCACTGCCAACCAATAAAGCAAAGCTCCCAGCAAGCTGACAAAAAGAAGGGGGCGGTCTGGGGGAAAGGGGGAGGAGACAAAGGACAAGAGCAACAGGAACCCCTTTCTATTGGCCCAACACGAAGAGACTTTCCAAATCACTGCGGCTGTCACAATTACACACCCGGAGAAGTCAATGCACAGTAATGGAGGGCGCATGACACAAGGAAGGAACTTGGCATTCTACGTTATTGAGACATAAAAGCCTATTTAGCTCACTTGACATCTGTTTATTTTAAATTTAGGCCACTGCCTTTGAGGCCTGTCCAGAATCACTCCAATTTCCTTTCTGAGCGAGTATCTTACATTTGTGGAGTGACCGGACCACACACACACATGCATGCGTCTCCACCTGCTCAGGATGTCTGGGTGTATGTACAAAGGCACTAAAGCGGTTTTAGAGAAATTGCAGGCAGCAACCCCACCCACTCCCTTTACCTGTTGAGCTGGAGTTTCTTTCCCACTGGGAAGCTTAATGGTTAAAAGAAGCTGTGGTCATGCTTGGGAATTCTGACCCCTGGCCCCAGGAGGGAATACAAAAGAATTCAACATCACCAAAAACTGAAAGGAAAACACTCCACATCTCCAGCTAAGGGATGGGGATAACGAAGCAGCAGATCTTCAAAACAGCAATTAAAACGAGCACAACAGTAGCTGGGAGCTAAAAAAGTAAAATCACTTGTTCCTTATTAGATTCTTCTATATTTTCTCCTCCTCCCATAACAAATGGAGGTAAGACAGACATTCTTCATTAATAGAACAGTCCATAGATAATTTTCCTCTAGTAATGCCTATATTTAAAATTTGTTCCAAAAATTATTAACCTATATTTCCTAACTCTTTACATAGATTCTCAGCAATCCAACTGTACTATTTTACAGATTAGAGTTACTTTTTTTTTAAGCTGTTGTTTCTTCCTTCCTTCCTTTCATTCTTTTGTTGCTGGGGTTGTGGGGACAGGGAGAAGGGTTCCTTTAAAAAAATAAAAATTACTAGTGGGGATTTCAGTTCAGTCTTAAATGGAAAGGAACAAAGTGATGGCATTCTCATCTATGTACACCAAACACTCTCCCATTAAACTACACACAATTTCAAACGAATCCATGATTGAGCTCTTACAAAGCTTAATCCTTCTCCCACATTTTTAAGATAATGAATTTACCTGTTGCTGCTAAATTGATAATTTTTAAAAAATATTTCTATGTGTTTTAAAATGTGTGATTCCCCAGTATGACAATAATGTTTGGAGACTTTTCTTTTTACATTTTTTTAAGTAAAAATTGTTTAAACTTTTTGAAGTTTCAGGAACTTGTAAAAGTTTATTAACAGGAAAGAAACAGCCATCTATCTAGGATAAGATACGGTTAAACAAACCATCTTCAAAAAACTGGCTTCCTACCCTAGAATTCCTGAGAATGCTTGCAAATTTTAAAGCAGGAAAATAAATGTTAAAAACAGAAACAAAAAACACTGTTAAATGCTCCCAGAGTTAGTCTTCATCTAAAATATATATTTATATGTGTATGTGTATATATATATATATATATATATATATATATATATATACACACACATACACACACGCACTTTTTGGTCTTTTTTTTTTTTTTTAAAGTTTTTAGTTTTTTTCCCTTTAAGCTTATGATGGAAGAACATTTTAGCTTCTCATGTTTATTTTTACATATTTCAAATCCCTCATTATGTCTTGTAAACAAGAGGGGCTCTAGCACCCGGCTTTCACCGTAGTATCGTAAGGAACTCAACTAACCCATAGTGCAGGTCAAGGAACCAACAGGCAGGAGGAGAGGAGGGCGGGGCAGGACACAGCAGTGAACCAAGAGCGGCAGTGGACAGGGTCACCACTGGCTCACGGGAGCCTGGGGACATGATCCCGGCCCAGGGACACTACGATTGATGTCCTTCTCTAGATGTCTGAATACAAGCTGCTCTTCACGTGGTGGTCGCTGCACAACAGCACTTTGCTCCACACAGAGCAGTCAGTGGGGGCTGCTGGAAGATCTTTTGTATGGGGAACAGTGGTGGAAGGGGCACGGTGGTGATTCAAATTGGAAAGCAGGAAGAGGGCATGCTCAAGGCACCCAGTGGGGCCGAGTCAACGCTGCAGACGCCAAGTGTGACCACCTACCCACAGAGGGCTCATGCAGGCTTGTACACGTGAACGCTCACTTGAGTCATGCCTGTCAATCTCTTTTGAGGCTAGGTTTATAATCAACAGGGTAACCCAGAAGGGCTACAGAATTTCCCATTCTTTGTCTCACAAAACCACTGAAATGCAAATAACTTTGTTTTAGGCTTTTCCTATACATACCCACTCACCCATCTACACACAGACACAAGCTAAGTCAAATACATTAGACATTGTTGTATCCTTCACTGAAGATGCTAAAGAAAGAAAAACTCCCTTGTCCTCAATAGCAGCAAGTTACAGAGGACAGAAGAGGTCTGCTCCCACCAAGGATTGGAATGGGCAGGTATTTGCTGGTACAAAATGTCGGCACTTTATGTTAAACAGTATAATGCAGACTGGGATGTCGACACAAGTGCGAGCACATCGCCGGCATACATCCCCCAACCCCATCTGCTTTGCACCCCCCTTCAGGTCTGCTGCAATTCTCTTCACAATAAGCAGTCTGATACATTTTGATTCCAACATAAGTACATACATGTTGGTGATAACTATGGATTAAACGCTGCCCCCCGTTCAGCCCAGAGTACTACTACATTGATGCTTAAAAAAAAAAAAGTCTTTAAATACCGAAATAAAAAAAAGCAAAATTACAAGAGGGCCGGGGGGGAAAGAGGTCAAAACCAAAAAAAAAGGTGCAATACTTAAAAGTCTTTGCTAAGTTATACCTGCCTAAGCAAAATCACATACACAGGAAATACACAACACAGAGAAACGAAAGGAAACGCTTGAAGTACACACTGGTTTAAGAACATTCGTTAAGTAAACGTTTCTGTCAGTGATGGCCTGGTGCTGTAACGCGCCGCGGCCTGGCACAGGTAACGCTCGGCGAGAGAGGAGCAGAGGGAGTAGCTGCAGATGCTTTCAGGAGGCTGCTCACCACTTATTCTTTCCTGTTTTCATAAAATGAAAAAGAGAACCAACCAACAGAAATACTGAACTCAACTTCACTTAGTTTTCTGATGAATTTCTCAAACCTCTTCATAAGGAAAGAGGGAACATGGTTTTTCTGTTTTTGAGACATCATATAACCAAAAACTATCTTCCGTTCCCATTCAAACTAACGAAAAGGCCTGCATGAAACTTAACAAATACTCAGATGTGCCTGGTGGCCATTCACTTTAAAAGAACAGAAATAAACACACAGCGGCTCCACGAGGTACCTCCTGCTCTAGTTTTTTTGGACTTGGCAGTGCTCCACTCTACTGCTAGGTCAAAAGAACAGCCAGAGAAATCCTGCATTCAGGCTAAGTTGCAAATGGAAAGGAGCTCCCTGCTTTCATCATTAAAAAGCGCTCTGTTCATCTTTAGTGCAGCCCAATGGAGTTGCTTTTAGTAGCAGTGGCTCTCCGGGCCTGTGTGTTCTCATAGTTAAAAAAAAAAAAAAAGAAATAAAAAGCAGATGGCCGGCCAGCCAGCCTGCAGACTGTCAGCGATGCAGCTTTCTGAGAAGTCAGGGAGGGTGGTGGGAGAAGGGAAGAACACAGGTACACACACAGAGACAGAGAAGGATGCACGCGAATGCACATGAACACACGTGCACACACACACCAGAACGAGCATGCCTGGGCAGTTACATGTGCCAGAACACACTGGTATTTATCAACCAGCCAATCACAAATTTTTTCCTTTTTTTTTTTTTTTTTTTAGGTTTTTTGTGTTTTTGTTTTTAAAGTGAGGCTCCGTCAAGTCTTCCCTCCCACCTCCCCCAACAATTCTTTTGAATTTCCCTCCCTCCCAAAACATGGTAGACCTAAGGACGGAAACACACCCAGTGCAAACAAAGTTAAAAAGCTATTTTTTTTTCAGTATATATGTTTCTTAGCAACAACTTCCATATAACATGAAAAAAGTGAAAAACTAGAAACTAATTTTTTTAATTTTTTTGTGTTTAAATTTAAATGGTATGTGTACTTGCTTCACATTGTCTTTCTAGGTTGGCGTTCATGATTCAAGTATTTCAAGAGTGATATGTTCTCTTTTTGGATTCATATTCCAAACGAAAAAACTGAAGTTATAAGGGAGGCAACTATGTGCTCAGACAGTCTGTCAATGACCCACCTTTTTTTCTCTCCGTTTTCTTTTTTCCTTTTAAAAATGTATTTATTGCAAGTTGAAAAAAAAAACGAAAAGGTCAAGTTAGTGCTGCTGCTGTTCCAAAAAAGGTCACGAGGTCAGAGTTGAAAGTTCTAAGTTCAGATTGAATCCGACCCTCCTCCCAGAAGGTCACCAGGTAGTAAAGGAGCAGGGCTGCCCATCCTATGGGGATCTTCCACCGTTGGGACTCCCCATAAGCTAGAAGAATAGTTTGGGGGCCCCCACAACGAAGCGCCAGCAAGATCGGCCCCGCTGCTGCCACCAGCGCTGCTGCTCCACTGCCCGAGCCCAGTGGACCCACCGAAAAGATTCAGAGCAGGTCCCACGGGATCTGACTGGTTCTGGCCGGTCTCCAGCGACTGCCACCCTGCGGCTGGCGCACTCGGGGTTGCTGCAGGTGTAGGGGGCTGAGCTTGTGCCAGAAAGCGGCTGACTTCATCATCAGTGGCAAACTCAGCAAGGATGGTAGTGTTTCCCAACACACACCTGGAAGAAGGGAGGGAAAGAGAGCTATGGATCTCCGGAAAATCCTAAAGCACATGGAAGGAGTGAGTGCTCAGTCTTTGCCATTCAGTGTGCGTTCCTTTGACTAGATGCTGCCATATCCATAAATGCTTTTTAGAATGCAGAGTTCGGGCCACCCAAGGCCTCTGGGTCCAGAAGCTGTATTCCAACCAGACTGCCAGGTGATTGAGAAGCAACGAGGCCATCACCAAAGCTCAGGATAAGCAAGGACTACTATGGAATATCGTATTCAGATATTTCTTGGTGTATGGGATTTATATAATCTAGACAACTTATCTATCCAGAAAAACATGTGTGTCTGTCGAGGGGCCAAGAGGGATGAACTGTCAGAGCACTCTGATACTGTAATGGTAGATACCTGCCATTATACATTTGTCTAAAACCATACACCATACAAGGCCAAAAGTGAACTCTAATGTAAACTGCAGACTTTTGGTGGTAATGATGTGTTCCGCAATCATGACAAATACACCACTTTGGTGGAGGATGTTGACAATGGTGGAGGCTATTTATATGTGGCAGCAGGAGATATATGAGAAATCTTTGTATCTTCCTCTCCATTTTGCTGCGGATCCTAAAACTGCTCAAAAACAAAATAAAGCCTTACATAAAAAGGAAAGAAAAATAGTCTCTTTTTCCCCCCATGTGAATTATGAGGCGAAACTCATATCCAAAGCCTCAAAGTAACCTGGCTTTGGCCCCTGGAAGTGCTGCTCTTTCTCAGGCGCTCCTCGCTGCCTGAGCCTCCCCGTTCCTGGCTTGCAGTGTATCCGGCTCTCTGTCATGGCATTTGCAGCCAAGGGCAGCCAGCTCTTCTCTGTCTACCAGTTTGACAGTGGCAGGGAAGGGGATGGCCAAGATCTGATCTAGTCCCACCTAATTTAAGCAAAGACCCTGTTACCCACCAAGACCACAATATTACATCATCTACAAGGAGGCTAGAGTAAGCAGCTAGATTCTATTACGAAAAACAATGGCGCTGATGTGAGCTTTGTTTTACGTTACGTAGAATTTACTCACTACTTCACAAATTATTTACAATTGGAATTCTGATGACTAGCCTCTGATATACACAGGACAATCCACGCTTCGGTAGAAAGGACCTAGCACCTGAGCACTTTAGACCTGCAGAGGCACGTGTGAGGTGCCATTCTCTCTGTCTGTGCTTGTGCATCTTTAGTTCAGCAGCTGCCAGAATACTCACGGGTGCATCTTCATGCATGTTTGTCTACGTGGGTGCAGGATGGAATACTCACATGTGCAGTGCAGTTTGGGCTTTGGCTGCCTCCTGTTTGGTGCTGTATCGGATCAGGGCAGTGCCCTGGGTTAGATTCAGATGGAATGTCAGCAGTGGGCCATGCTGCATGCAGATCGTTCTCAAGGTTGACCCATCAATCTAAGAAGTAATGACATTCATGAGATAAGGACTGGAGGAGGGGTGAGAAAGGTAAATTTTAAGATATTCAAAGCACTGGCTGAGACCTAGTGTGCCCATTTTGCAAACAGAGTTTGCATAAATGCAGCTCAAAACAAAAGCATATGATTCAGCCTGTGGTCTGTTTTCTTCAGGACATAAACAGGTGGGAGTGTGTTAATTTGTGGAGCCAAAAAGGGCAGAAATGAGATGGCACCCACATAAGAATGTAAGTTAACATTCTTAGCATCACTGCTTATCTTGAATATCTGATTATTTAAAATGCTGATGGCTGACCTAGTTCACAGCCTATCCAACACTGTCTTACCCCCTACTTTGCCCATCTCAAGGTGAGACTATTTCTGCCTACTTCTCTAAGTCCTCTGCTGATATCAGGCATTTTGATCAAAGGCTGTACTCCTCACCCCAGTTAGACTTTCACCACTTAAGACCTTCAGGGATCAGGGACAATTTTCCTAACCTGTGAAGTTGAATGAATAAACTTACTCACTTTATCTGATTAATTTATTTTGCATTAAGATCTTAAATAGGTATTTCAGATCAGTTCATCATTTCAGTTCATTTCTTTGGAAGATAAACAGATTCCTGTTGGATTGCTTAAAAAGCTGTGCTACTGGTGGCAGTGGCAGATACCCTGCAGGATGGAAACTGGCAGTTTCTTGGTCTTACTAACTCTTCTGTCACCCAGGCTGGAGAGATGATTTGCTCTAATAACCTTTTAAGCTATGATAGAGATTAGTCTGCTCTTAGGAAGATTTGATTTTTAAAATTAATTCTAACACAAACACAGCCACCTCCATATTCATTTTATATGAATATATGTGTATACTTAACATTTTTTTTTTTTTTTGAGACAGAGTCTTGTTCTGTCACCCAGGCTGGAGGGCAGTGGCACGATCTCGGCTCACTGCAGCCTCTGCCTCCTGGGTTGAAGCAATTCTCCTGCCTTAGTCTCCCAAGTAGCTGGAACTACAGCTGCCCACCACCATACCCAGATAATTTTTGTATTTTTAGTAGAGATGGGGTTTCACCATGTTGGCCAGGCTGGTCTGAAACTCCTGACCTCAGGTGATCCACCTGCCTCAGCCTCCCAAAAGTGCTAGGGTGACAGGCATGAGCCACCAAATCCAGCCAGCATTTTTATAAGATAGAACAAGTGAACAGCTGATTATCCTTCCCAGGCTCCTTTCAAGACAGTGTAACCCTTATTGCTTCTCTCATTCTAATCATACCATAATCACCACATTGTGCGACATCTCTTAGGAAACAGAAGGCATACATAGTTTTGAGGATGGTCATATAAAATTCTTCATACTTCAGTATTAGCTAAATAAATAACTTGGAACTTTGAGCTGAGTTGATTAGATACAGAGATTAAGTGGTAACCCGCATCCTCCCTCATGTTAACTGTATGTAGGAAACTGTTTATCTCAATGTACCCCTTGAAATACGAGTCCTGTGATTTACTCCCTATGAATGGGCAAATGTATTTAGGACATGTATTTTCCTACAGAGAATCATATTATGTGTTAGCATATTAAAAGGTCTAAGGAGTCTCAAAGTGAAGAAATCTACTTAGTTTTGTTTAAGCAAGTATACATGTCAAACGGATTAGACCAGAGACTGAATACTCTGGAAAATGGAACACTCTGGAAAATGTTGGCTTAGTAAAATGTGCATGAATCCACGCATGAATTAAATGCCAGACAATGCATTCTACGTGTCAAAAACAGGAGGCATGACTGACTTCTTTTAACAAGGTGTTGTGAGGGTGTTGTAAAGGGTGCGATGGGCCCACTTAACCTCATTCAAGTAGTAAACATGATGCTCTGCAAATGCCTCAGTTATCTAGCAAAAAGGGTGAAAGTCAGGGTGGCTTGGTGCAAATTAAGCTCCTCTACTGGAAAACCACCCGGAGGGTATGGTCTGATGAGGGCAAATTATAGTAATGTCATCTACACATGAAGAGCGTGATAGACGGAGAGTTAAACATGCCCAAGTAGCATTTATTAGCTATGAAGTCGAATGATCTTTTCCACTGGACAGGTGGATGGTTAATTATTTACAAAGCGCAAAAAGTGATTATGTTTTAAGAGGGGAAAATACTGAGGTTTTCTAACTAAATGATTCATGAGATTATTATTAAGAAACATGAAGAACTTAGTTGAGAAGGAAAGACTTTTAGGGATGGGGGAGTATAGGTTAGGTCTTGCTGGAGAATTAACACAGAACAGGTAGCTTCTGGGTGTCCTTAAAACACTCCCTTCTCCACTAGGTTCTGGATTCCAACATGCACATCTGTAGAGCGAATTGTGTCTACTATACAGAAATCACCAGAAAATACCGCTCTACTCTGTTTTTTCTCTTTCTCTGCCCCATAAGATCGGCAGGAACCCACTCTAGTGGGTTTCACCTAGTTTTATAAACTACTTTTCAGTTTTATAAACTGTATGTGTCATCATTATCTTTAAGGCAGGCGTGAAGCCTCGTGGCCAGCATCCACCCCTCTCCAGAAGCAGGTTCTGAACTTTGGGTGAGGAGGGGACAGCCACCGCCTGCGGTAAAGACCTCCTTACAGTGATTGGGAAATGAGCTTTCATATAACCTCCCACATCTCTGTATTTCCCTCTCTCTCTCTCTCTCTCTTTTGAGATAGGGTCTTGCACTGTTGCCCAACCTGGAGTGCAGTGCAATGCAATCACGGCTCACTGCAGCCTCCTTTGACCTTCTGGGCTCAAGTGATCCTCCCACCTCAGCCTCCTGAGCAGCTGGGACTACAGGTGTGTGCCACCATGCCTGGCTACTTTTGAATTTTTTGTAGAAGCAGGTTCTCATTATATTGCTTGGACTGATAATATTGCTTGGACTGATCTTAGACACCTGGCTTTAAGAAATCCTCTCACCTTGGCCTCCCAAAGTGCTGGGATTAGGGGTGTGAAACATCACCCCTGGTCTTATCTCTCTCTCTTAATATAATCTATAATCAAGTCCTATCTAGAAAACCACGAGAAAGCATAATTACCTGTGGAGTGAGATTGTGAAGAACCAGCCAGTAACTAGGACGAACTGAGCCACCATCACTCCAGGTAGAGGCTATAAGCAACCAGAAAAATGGTTAGGAAGAGAAATAAAAAAAAATTCAAGAAAGCCATGAGGGAGGAACATTTTCATGTAGCCCACATTTCTTCTCTGCTTTTATAACCTGTCTTTCTTTTCCTCTGGACTCTGATCTCCTTTTTCTCTTCTACTGGTCCCTGACTCCTATGCACTCTTATGCCTCATTTGCAAGACAGTATTTTCCTCCCAGTGTTCTCACTCTGCCATTTTTACTCACTCATTTTACTCCATCTGTCCCTTGGGAGCTCTTGGGTCCCTTTGCTTATACTGACTACGGCTTTCACTCAAGAGGTAGCTTCTCCTCTATCAGAAGAAAAACCAGACAACCATGACTTCCTCTATTGGGAAGACCTCTCGGTGTCTTCACCATCTGTGTTAACGTAAGCCCCTTTGTGGATGAACAATGGTGCTCCTTCAGGCAGATCCTCCTCACCCGAAGCAAGCCGCGAGTCCTGTGTCCCCCACCCCCTGACTGATCGGGGTGCTGTGCTGCTCCAGGGAGATGATGGTTTGGGGTTGGTCAGACCAGGAGGTGGGCGGGGCAGCGGTGTAGTGTTCCTGGAGGAAATATGGTTTTTCCACATCTTGTTGGAGAGATGAGTGGGGTTGTGTCCTATGGGATCTGGGGACCATGTTGATTTGTAATCAGGGAACTTTGCTGTAAGAAGAGAACATTAAGGAAGGAAAGAGGTTAGATGGTTCACTTCTTTTGACAAATACACATGAGTTTTAATTACATACACATAAATACATACACATTTATATTCTGAGAAGTAACAGTACACATTTTAAGCATAGCAATACAAAATAACTGTTCTTTGAGCATAATAAACAGAAAATTTTCAGTGACTACTACTCTGAATTGATAGAATTATCATATGAATTAAAGATTTAATAAGATAACTAATTCTCTACTGCTTTCTTAGCTAAAAATGACTTGAAAGGGAGGATGCATTCAAGGAGAAAATCTTCCTAAAGACACCAGATTCTGGGTAACAGTGAGAATGTGAATCCTAGCAGAACTAAAGTATTCTATAAATACTCATTGACTAAACGGAAAGTAATTAGAAAATTATACTTGTGTCTTGATCCAGTGTATTAGATACTGCTGTTCAAACAGATTCTTTAAAAACAATCAAGAAATATTCACTAAGGGCTTACTATGCATATGGCATTAAATCAGTGCTGTGAGTAACATAAATAATTATCCCCAAGAACCTCAAGCTCAGATGGGAAGGCAGAACAGATGAGCAACAGAACTGGTGACCCCAATATCATCACATATGTTCAATATGCAGAGGAGATCAAGAATGCTGGGCTTGCAGCAAAGGCTTTACAAGGACAGTTCTTGAAGGAGTTACATAAATGGATGGGCACAAAGAAACAGGAAAGCGTAAACCAAGGTTCAACATAAACTCTCTCTATATATGGAATATGATGCCCCTCAATTGTGGTTGAACAGTTCACAGAGGCAGAGAGGTAAAGGAGGTTATAAAAGTAGGCTGGGGACTCCTTAAGATACTATTAGGAGTTTTTTGCAACTGATTCAGAATGGAGTGTTTAAACTACTGTGACAGCAAACAGAATGAAACAGAGGAATGGATATTTGAAATATGATTGCAGAATAAGCCACTAAGGAGAAATCATCACTGCCTGGGATCCAGGAACTAACGGAGAGAGGAAAAAGGAAGAAAATACTGAGATTTTATAACTAAATGATACATGAGATCATTATTAAGAAAAAGAAACATAGGCCAGGCACGGTGGCTCACACTGGGAGGCTAAGGCAGGCGGATCACTTGACATCAGGAGTTCAAGACCAGCCTGGCCAACATGGTAAAACCCCATCTCTACTAAAAATACAAAAATTAGCCGTGTGTGCTGGTGGGCACCTGTAATTCCAGCTGCTCAGGAGGCTAAGGCAGAAGAATCACTTGAACCTGGGAGGTGGGAGGTTGCAGTAAGCCAAGATTGCTCCATTGCACTCCAGCCTGGGCAACAACAGCAAAACTCCTTCTCAAAAATAAATAAATAAATAAATAAAATAAAATTAAAAAAAAAAAAAATAAAAATGAAAGAAAGAAGCATAAAGGCCGGGTGTGGTGGCTCATGCCTGTAATCCCAGCACTTTGGGAGGCTGAGGAGGGCAGATCACCTGAGGTCAGGAGTTCAAGACCAGGTTGGCCAACACAGTGAAACCCTATCTCTGGAAAAAAAAAAAAAAGAAAGAAAGAAGAAAGAAAGAAAGAAAGAACAAACAAAGGAACGTAGCTGAGAAAGAAAAACACTTTTGGGGGTGGGGAGTATAGGTTCAGTTTTAGACAAGTCTGAGGTGATTCTTGGGCCATTTCTCAGGTGAATTTCCAATTATTGGAAAAAGATACATAATTCAATCTGAGATATGGGCATGTATAGGAGTAAAAGAGTTGGGTAACCAGACTAAGTTTTTATATGTAAAAGAAATCCTGGCCGGGCGCAGTGGCTCAAGCCTGTAATCCTAGCACTTTGGGAGGCTGAGGCGGGTGGATCATGAGGTCAAGAGATCGAGACCATCCTGGTCAACATGGTGAAACCCCGTCTCTACTAAAAATACAAAAAAAAAAAAAAACTAGCTGGGCGTGGTGGCTCATGCCTGTAATCCCAGCTACTTAGGAGGCTGAGGCAGGAGAATTGCCTGAGCCCAGGAGGCGGAGGTTGCGGTGAGCCGAGATCGCGCCATTGCACTCCAGCCTGGGTAACAAGAGCGAAACTCCGTCTCAAAAAAAAAAAAAGAAATCCTACAAAAGCAAAATGTATTCAAAACATGGGATATAGAGATGTCTTCTTTACTTGCTAGGAACCAAGGCAAGTTATATCAGCTCTCAGAACCTCACTCAGTTTCTTTACCCACAAAATAGGGGTAACAACAGGACTTACTCATGGCCTTTGGTGAAGGTAAAATAAAAATTCGTGTGGAAGGTTTAGCATGATGCTTGGTCTGTGGGATCATTCAGTGAGTGGCAGGTTATGGCTGCACTACTGATATAACACCAAGGTGGGAAGAAAAATAAGACAGTCAGCAGCCCCCCAGTCTGTAGCACCTTCGCAGGTGGCTAAAGGTCTGCTTTATTGGCTTATGTGCAAAGCAGATTAAGACATTAATGACTTTAACAGCTTAAGGTCCAACTTTTGCTGAAGCTGGCAATACTGAAGGTGCCAATATTAATACGTCTACCAATCGGTAAGGCACTGTGCTCAGTGAGTGACTTTAAACCCTTCATTATATCCCCTAACATTTCCATTTCCTATTGTCTTTCAGAAAACATGAGGAACCTACCAAATGATGGTAAAATTAATCAAGGTCCTCTTTCTATTTTTCCCCCTTTGGCCATCTGCCCCTAGCCTTTGTCTATAAGTGGGAGGATTTTCAGAGAAAAGCCAGTGATAATTGGCTACTTTAGGAGTAAGAACCTGGTCTTAACTGGTTCTTCTCATGACCCATGATTTCTTGGCAGCCTTGTTAAAAAAGAAGCATGTGTGTCATTAGGACATGACTCCAGCCCTCTAAATATGCCAGCTTCCTGCAGTTATGTCACTATTGGCCTCATCCCAAAGTTGTATCTGCCTCATCCTCCCTGAGAGTAGAAGTTCCTCAAAGACATAGCAAATATAAAAGGTGTGCTTCCCTCTATACTGACCTATGCTACTGAACGGTCACAGTATACCTTACGAAATACATGCCAATTTCCTTTATAAAAGGGAACCTGACGAAAAAGTGCTAACCAAAGGGAAACAAAAAATTTATGCTCATACCTGAAGTGCTATGAACGTTGGTAAAGGAATTGTCAGAGGCACTGTAGGGCCAGGCACCAGGTGAAGGCAGCGAGGTGTTGAGGGAAGAATTAGACCCTTGGGTAGCAAAGAAGAAGAAGAAAATACTGAAGATAAATGTTGGTATATAACCAGTAAAACCTTGAGAGTATTTTATTTAAACTTCAACAGGCTGGAGGACAAAATATGTCTGACAAATAAAGGTGAAAAGCAATATTCTGACTTTTGTTGGTTCAACTTTTAGGTACCAGCAAGTACAAATGAAGTCACAGACTGACAACTAGGAAAATGCTGTGTGTTGAGTATACAAGAGATGCTTTGCTCACTTACCTGTGGTGTTATCCCGCAGCAGTTGGTGGTCAGTATCTACAATGGGAGATGTGGCTGTACCCCCCAGCACACTTCCTGGGGTGACATAGGGGTCAGATTCAGGGTCAATGTTTTGGATACCTTTCCATGGCACTCCTGGTTGGAATTCTGAGACAAGGAAAACAAATATTAGAGCAGGAAGGTTGTTAAAAAAAATTGATATAGTATTTTTTTAATATAAGAAATGGGTCTGTGAGTCTGGGCGCGGTAGCTCACGCCTGTAATTGCAACACTTTGGGAGGCGAAGGTGGGTGGATCACAAGGTCAGGAGTTTGAGACCAGCCTGGCCAATACGGTGAAACTCCGTCTCTACTAGAAAATATGAAAATTAGCTGGGCATGGTGGGACATGTCTGTAGTCCCAGCTACTCGGGAGGTTGAGGCAGAAGAATCACTTGAACCTGGGAGGTAGAAGTTGCAGTGAGCTGAGATCATGCCATTGCACTCCAGCCTGGGTGACAGAGCAAGACTCCATCTCAAAAAAAAGAAAAAAGAAAAGAAAAGAAATGGGTCTGTGAAAAATAAAAATACTGAATTTATATACTGATTTTCATCACAAAATTAAGGAAAAAAATCAGCATGAATATATACTCCTGCCAACAGCACGTATGTGTTATAACACTGTCTGTGGGGTGAACTTGAAGCCACAGCTCATGCCTGGCCCTGGTAACCTGATCCTCCTGCTCCCAGGAGACTTCAGGCCTGAAGGCAGGAAAAGCAGGAGTAAGAACTCTGGTGTTCAAAACAATTATCCAAGCATCTAGGCCAAGAACCGGGTGAAAACATGGGCTAGAGATCAGTGTCCTTTCTCATTTTCTTTACCAGATGTTGGCCAAAATGCAAAAAGTATAATACAAATGCAAGATGGAACGTCCAGGGATAATTTAGCTTAGCAAAAGAAAGCCTAGAATATACACGAGAGCTCAGAATTTTTTTATTGGTCAATTTAAATCATTTAAAAATTTTAAAGCTATGTGATAGAATAAACTTTCATTTTCCCAATTGTTATGAGAAAGAGCAATGTGTACCCTATATGAATGATTTACATCATACAATTTTACTTTAATAAAATGAAACTATACATATTCGTATCACAAACATGTATGCACAGAAAGAGGTCTAGGAGGACATATATTTATGGAATTACTAATTTTAATTTTTGCTTTATTAAATGTTCCCATTTTTCTATCATGAGAATAAATTACTATGTCCAACAAAAGAGAGGGAGAGAGAAAAAAATTAACAAATAATTTCATTGTAATCACGACTGCATATTTAGAACCTAACTGATAATAAATACTTGCCTAACAACTAACAAATCAATTTCAACAGACACTTCAAAAGAACCCATGTTACAAGGCATCCTAGGCATGGGACGAATGCCAAGGCCTAGCTACAACGTCACTTATCTCCAGATTCCCCATCTAACAAAAATTTTCTATCTTTCCACAGCACATGCCTTGCTTCTAAGAGACAATTTTTTTTTTTTTGAGATGATGTCTTGCTCTGTCACCCAGGCTGGAGTGCAGTGGTACAGTCTCGACTCACTGTAACCTCTACCTCCCAGGTTCAAGCGATTCTCCTGCCTCAGCCTCCTGAGTAGCTGGGACTACAGGCGCACGCCACCATGCTCAGCTAATTTTTGTATTTTTGGTAGAGACAGGGTTTCACCATGTTGACCGGGATGGTCTCGATCTCTTGACCTCATGATCCACCCGACTTGGTCTCCTAAAGTGCTGGGATTACAGGCATGAGCCGCTGCGCCTAGCCTAACAATTACTGAATGAAAACATGGAAGCATGTGCCTTAGTAACATGAGTCACAAAAACAATGTATTCTGAACCTGAAACTTGACAATTACAAAACAAATGCTATCCTAGAAAAGCATTTCCTGGACCATACCTGGAGGCCAACTGGCATTGCTGGATTTACTTCCGATTTTATTTGTTGGTGGAGATTTGGCAGGTAACCAGCTATCACCAGCAGGACCCGTATGGCCACCCAGTGTGTCACCAGGGATGATATCAAACTGGTTGTACGGTGACCCTCCCCGGGTCTTACCAGGGGCCACTATAGCGCCTGAGAAAAGAGAGGAAATTAATTCATCCAGAATAACTCCTATGAATGGCACTTGTCTATTTTTTATTCATTGGAATTCAAGTCTTCTGAAGCTGATGGAGTACATACAAACAGCACTGGAGTAAGAGGTTGCATTAGAGACTCAGCACATAATTACTAAGCAGCAAGACCATGAACAAGTCGTTTCACCTCTCTGAGCCTCTCAGTTCCTTATTTAGGCACACAGGATTGTTCTCATGCTTGACTGTTCCTTTCAGTTTTAAAATTCCATGGTCTTATGAAATTAATGAAATGTCCACAAACTAGCAGTCTTATCATTATCCCTAGTTTCTATGCTAATGACCCAAGAGTGAGAAATGGGGAAAATTCTAACAATCTGTAGCACATAAGAAGGTTTTAACTAAATTTCTACTGATGCTACCCGCCCAGGTTCTTAAGGGCTGGCTGATCAGGCTTAGATTAGCTGGAAGCAGCAGTATAAACAGAGAGTCCATTCGGGAGAAAAGCATCTGCAATTGCTTTAAATTCCAAGGCAATGAGATGGAATTCCCGCCTAGGGTCTTTGCCAGCACAAGACCAGCAATGAACTCTGCAGCTCTGGGATCCATGGCCTCACACATAAAGAACAGCAAATCCTTTGTAACTGCTTTCCTTAGAGCATTTCAGTGGTTTTGCCGGTGCCCCCATCACACATTTTATATGCTACGGGGCAGGAAAATAATTAAAAGCTTAAAATTGCTTTGAACTAACAAAACGTGCATTTAAAATAAAATTTTAGGCGTCAGTGAGATACCAGTCTACTTATTTCTCAAATGAATTTTACATACTGTATCGGGTCACTTGACCTATTCTTAGGATGCTGCTTGTGAAGGGATAAAATTATTTCCAGGGCGATACAGCCTAATGGTATTATCAAAACTATCTCCATGTGCAGCTAAGAGGACATTTGCTTTTCTGGAGCTACTGACAAATCTGGCTCAGAGGCACATTATGGTGAAGCAGTGGAAAATGAAAAGCTCAATTACTTTGGGGATTGCTAAGGAAACGTGAAAACATGATCCATAAACTCTAAAAAGGCAAGTAGAGATTTTGTCTTCGAGATATCCTCTCACGTGCCATTTCCTATTTATTACCATCCAGCTATCATGTCTTTGGGGACAAGGGGACCAGGTGAATCATCAGCCTAAGGAAGCACTGAAAGTGCCCAAAGCTATAGCTTACAGTGGGCTTGGATTATTCTATCCACAAACAGACTTTACAAGGTCAATAAATCATTTTTGTCTTCATGTCATGAGAAACCAAATGATAATGCTGAGGGATGGCAGGCAGAGAGCTCCATGTGGTTATTTCACCAGCCTCCCGGATGGGCTTATTAAAGAGTGGTTTATAAAAGAAACCTGAAAGGCTTCAGACTGAATGACTTGGCTGGGGCTGAGGCCTGCCAGGGCGCTGCAGCAGGAACAGCCAGACACCTCTTTATACTTGGTTCTCATGGATACAGTTAAGTCCAAGTGAATTACTGTCAAGTGAAACAAACACTGAAACAAAGGCTGAAGGAAGGTTCTGAGACCTTTTATCTGTTTTACAGAGAAATAGAGAAGCCCTTACAGAGAATAATCGAGAGGAAAAGCCGACCCACATCACGACCAAAGCCTGCAATACCCTTAAATACTGTCTTGCAGACGCTCTAATTAGAATAAGAAAGCTTTGTGAAAGTTCAAATCTCATGTATTATGATCTATCAGTCATCCTTTGAAGATTAAATGGCAGGACTTTTTTTTTAAAGCTGATGAACTTAATATGGTTCAAATAACCAACAAGATCAGTATTTGTTATGATCCCTTGCTCTGCAAAACAAAGCAAAACAAACTCAACAAGCTGACTCTGCTCGCTCAGCCAACTTATTAGGGTTTCACCTTGGATGCCCAAGTTCACTGCTACCACCTTCAATCGTGATAGCTGAAAAATTCTGCTCCCCTTAATCAGAACTAGCACTTTATATTTCTTATAATTCAACATACATGTGACTCTGTCCTTCCTCCATAGGCGATCACAGGATTCACGAAGAAAAGAATACCAAGAGACTCATTAAGAAAAAGCTGAAGTTCTGTACTTCAGAACAGTATTATAGGACGTTTCATCAAGACCTGCTGAGGGTTGGGGCTCTAACTTTCAGTGCTTCTCTTACCATTTTTGTGCATATTGGCTTCCTGTGTGGCTACAGAGGGCAGCCCCTCCATCATGGAGGTCCACTGTTTAAAGCGAGACTCAGTTCCAGCCTCCTTCCCACCAACCATGCCATAGTCCATGCCGCCAGAGCTGAAGCCTAAAAAGGAGAAGACCACATTTTATAAGTCTCTAGCATCAGTAACAAGAGTTCTGAAGCAGGCCCCAGGAATGCCTTCAGGTGTCATTCAAAGACTAATTCACCAAGTTTCTCCATTCAGAAACAGGTATTTTTGATTCCAAGTTTAGATATTGGCTCTTGCTTCCTAAAAAAGTGATGTCTCGGGGCCGGGCATGGTGGCTCAAGCCTGTAATCCCAGCACTTTGGGAGGCCGAGGCGGGTGGATCACGAGGTCAAGAGATCAAGACCATCCTGGTCAACATGGTGAAACCCTGTCTCTACTAAAAATACAAAAAATTAGCTGGGTATGGTGGCACATCCCTGTAATCCCAGCTACTCAGGAGGCTGAGGCAGGAGAATTGCTTGAACCCAGGAGGCGGAGGTTGCGGTGAGCCGAGATCACGCCATTGCACTCCAGCCTGGGTAACAAGAGTGAAACTCCGTCTCAAAAAAAAAAAAAAAAAAAAAAAAAGGTGATATCTCTCTGTGAAGGTATTAAGATGTGTATGACTGCCATAGATCAGCTCTGTCTCAGTGCATTCCTGCACGCCCTTTTTCTTTTTCATTCAGATGATATATGTCCCAGGCAGAATGCTGGGACTAGCCATTCTCCAACTGAGATGGGGAAGACTACATACAATCAGTGTAGCCCAACAGCAGTGACAGAACTGTCATCAGGGAATCATGGGGAAGGAGAGGCTTTGCAGAAGGGACATGTGAGCTAGAGCCTAAGACAGGTATTTGGGGATGTCAAGGAAACCAGGTACATTTAGGGAATGGTGAGAGATTCAAATGACTCCAATGTTTAGCTAACTCTGGGATGAAGTGAGGCGGAGAGTGGTAGGGGTGTGGAGAAATGAAGAGTCACGTCATGTAGTATTCTTTACATATTAGACCAAGGAATCTGAATTTTTTTTTCTCTAAGACAAGAGATAATAGAAATTTTAAGCATGTGAGAGGATAACTAATAATGTATTTTAGGAAGAGAATTGGCAGCCTTGCGATGGGTGGAGGTCAGGGCAGAATCTGAAAGATAAATTTCAAAGTAGTCTTTAAGCAATGGGGAAGACCCCAAAGATTGAACAGGTGAGTAGTTAAAGAGTTCTCAGTTCACTTTGCCATGAGCCCCAGGTAAGCTTCAGTGGAAGAGTCTTGGGTAACGTTCTCCCACTGCACAGAGCTGGAGAGCTAACGCCACACAGCAGAAGCTCGATAATGGAGTGTAACAGGATCCATCATCCATTTGGGTCAGAATACATATGACACTTCCTCATACAAACTCTCAAAAAAGTAAAATAAAGGACTAAAACAGATGAAACAGGGGAGGGGAAAAACAATAAATGACCACAGAAAAATGAGAAGGAGCCACAGGAAGTGCAGAGCAGCAGCATGGACACAGGCACCCCAAGGAGTGAGCAAGGCTCCCACCACGGCAGAGCCAAACTACCCTGCCCCGAGATGTGTAACTCCAGCCAGAACAGACTCCAGACTGCACCCACCGCAGGTCCTCAGTTTCCATCTAACCAAATCCCACTGAGGGCCCAGGTTGTGTTTTTCTTCCCCTGTGCTTATTTTAGTTGTCTGGGATAGTTTTATAGGTGCATAATAAATCAAATAAAAATCTAACACCTTCCTGACCCATGTTAAAAATGTTGCTATTTATATAAAGAACAGTGTTCTTTCATGCTTTGTAACTGAACTTACCAGTTCAAAATGATTGGTGGGTGGGGGTGGGGAGCAGAAATCTTTAGAATGAGATGAAAATATTTCAAATGAAATTATTATTATTTTTTGGAGATGGAGTCTTGCTCTGTTACCCAGGCTGAAGTGCAGTGGCATGATCTCGGCTCATTGCAACCTCTGCCTCCTGGGTTCAAGCAATTCTCCTGCCTCAACCTCCCAAGTAGCTGGGACTACAGGCAGACGCTGCCACACCTAGCTAAGTTTTTGTAGAGACAGGGGTTTCACCATGCTGCCCAGGATGGTCTTGAACTCCTGAGCTCAGACAATCCACCCGCCTCAGCCTCTCAAAGTGCTGGGATTACAGGTGTGAGCCACCGTGCCGGGCCTTATTATTATTATTATTATTATTTTTTGAGACGGAGTTTCGTTCTTGTTACCCAGGCTCGAGTGCAATAGCACGATCTCGGCTCACTGCAACCTCCGCCTCAAGAGTTCAGGCAATTCTCCTGCCTCAACCTCGTGAGTAGCTGGGATTATAGGCATGCGCCACCATGCCCAGCTAATTTTTTGTATTTTTAGTAGAGACGGGGTTTCACCATGTTGACCAGGATGGTCTCGATCTCTTGACCTCGTGATCCACCCGCCTCAGCCTCCCAAAGCGCTGGGATTACAGGCTTGAGCCACCGTGCCCGGCCCTTATTATTTTTTAAAAAAGAGTTTGAGCCAGTTTTTTCTTTCTTTCATCCTAGGTAGCAGAAATTAGATTGAAGGAAGGCCGGGCACGGTGGCTCAAGCCTGTAATCCCAGCACTTTGGGAGGCTGAGGCGGGTGGATCACAAGGTCGAGAGATCGAGACCATCCTGGTCAACATGGTGAAACCCTGTCTCTACTAAAGATACAAAAAAATTAGCTGGGCATGGTGGCTCGTGCCTGTAATCCCAGCTACTCAGGAGGCTGAGACAGGAGAATTGCCTGAACCCAGGAGGCGGAGGTTGCGGTGAGCCGAGATCGCGCCATTGCACTCCAGCCTGGGTAACAAGTGCGAAACTCCGTCTCAAAAAAAAAAAAAAAAAAAGAAAAGAAATTAGATTGAAGGGCACAGAAGTTGCAAGGAACAAAAGCTATCTCTGACATAAGCCTTAATGGCCTAAACAGGTTGCTCTTTGGGTAAATTACACTTCTGCCTTTGAGAAAACCAGGCCAAGGTGCTTGGATTCCAGGCCACCTGAAAGCTCAGTTCTAATCACTGAGAAAGAGCTTTTGGAAATAATCTAGGATTCTGGCAAAGATTTAAAAGAATGCTAACATTAGTAAGAAGAGGAGGAACCATTCCTTATACATTAATTTTCTTTGAAGTTATTCTAAAATTTTCTGTAAAACCCATAGTAAATTAAATTTCTTTAATTTTAGCTGCTTAGAGGTTTTTTCTGGTGACAAACGAAATGCAGAAAATTAAAGAGTTATAGGAAAAGGGCAAAAAGGCCAGGTGCAATGGCTCACCAGCACTTTGGGAGTCCAAGGTGGGCAGATCACGAGGTCAAGAGATCGAGATCATCCTGGCCAACATGGCGAAACCCCATCTCTACTAAAAATACAAAAATTAGCTGGGTGTGGTGGTGTGCGCCTGTAATTCCAGCTACTCAGGAGGCTGAGGCAGGAGAATTGCTTGAACATGGGAGGCGGAGGTTGCAGTGAGCTGAGATCTCACCACTGCACTCCAGCCTGGGTGACAGAGCAAGATTCCGTCTAAAAAAAAAAAAAAAAAAAAAAAAAGAAGGCCGGGCGCAGTGGCTCAAGCCTGTAATCCCAGCACTTTGGGAGGCCGAGGCGGGTGGATCACAAGGTCAAGAGATCGAGACCATCCTGGTCAACATGGTGAAACCCCATCTCTACTAAAAATACAAAAAAGTAGCTGGGCATGGTGGCACGTGCCTGTAATCCCAGCTACTCAGGAGGCTGAGGCAGGAGAATTGCCTGAACTCAGGAGGCGGAGGTTGCGGTGAGCCGAGATTGTGCCATTGCACTCGAGCCTGGGTAACAAGAGTGAAACTCCGTCTCAAAAAAAAAAAGAAAAAGGGCAAAAAAAGAAAAAAAATCAAAAAAAGAGAAAAAGAAAGAAGAGGAAAGAAGGAAAGAAAAAGAATGAAACAAAAAGAGAGAAAGAAAAAGTAAGCAAGCAAAGAAAGAGCTCAGCAGCTCCATGAATCTTGGGGAAAGTGGGCACCTGATTCATTAGAGACTTGGGGATCAAATGCCACCACAGTAGGGCAGTCCCAGCACTGGCTCACAAGGTTTGGTCAGGAAAAATTATTCAAGGGGTCAGAGAAAGAGTAGGTGAGGAAACTGTCTTGAAAGGTTCAATCTATAAGCCTGAAAGTATGAGGGGAAAAATCAGGCAAAGATGTATATAATTTTCTTTTCTTTTCTTTTTTTTTTGAGACGGAGTTTCGCTCTTGTTACCCAGGCTGCAGTGCAATGGCACGATCTCGGCTCACCGCAACCTCCGCCTCCCAGGTTCAGGCAATTCTCCTGCCTCAGCCTCCTGAGTAGCTGGGATTACAGGCACGTGCCACCATGCCCAGCTAATGTTTTGTATTTTTAGTAGAGACGGGGTTTCACCATGTTGACCAGGATGGTCTCGATCTCTCGACCTCGTGATCCACCCGCCTCGGCCTCCCAAAGTGCTGGGATTTCAAGCTTGAGCCACCGCGCCTGGCCCGATGGGTTTTGATGGAAGGAATTTTGGGGCACTGTGCTCTAGTGGCTGCATTAACAAAGAACAGATGGTGCTTTGCTAGTGACCTTTGGTTATTTACAAACTATCATACCTCTAAACCCAAGAAAATACTGACTTCATTGTACTTTCTACTACAGCAAAACTAAATTTCCTCAGTACAACCAAGTGGTTTCTCTGAAATTTCCAGCTCACAAACAGTGATTTAGCTCAAATTAAGCCATTTAGTTCAGTTCAATGAATATTTATGGACAGTCTAATCTCTGCCAGGCCCTGTGTTAGGAGCTGAGGTACAAACAGAGATAAGACATGCCCCTTGCTTATCACCTGCTTTTATCATTCTTGCAAGGACAACCCTTTGCCTGCCTCATCTGTCCTTGGCAGAATTACCTTCTCTCATCTCCACACACCCTAATTCATGGTCTATTCATGAAAAACATTTGGCTCCATTCTTATATCCTTGAGGAAATGCTCTTAAATTAACTTGTCCTTACACTGATCTTGCCTTCACTCTCTTTGTTTACAGTTCTGTTGTTCGCTCCTCTTTTTCCTATATATTAAA